TGAATTTAGTGCATAAATTTAGTTGAAAGTTAGAACAAAATTATTTTTGTTACTTTATTAATTTTAAGTTATTACTACTCCACATCACCTAATTAATAATAATTTTTACAGCCAAATTAACGTTTCTCTTTCTTATGTAATTATTATTATTATAGATAATTATCTATTCATTACGTAAATATTATTTGTTCCTAAAAAAAATTATATAACATTATTTAAAAATTTTAACTTATCATAAATTTCTTAACCCCTAATTTCTGAAACCATAACCCTCATTTTTGATTTCACAATTTAAAACCGTTAATTGAAAAATGATTTCACATTCATCAATTCAAAACCCTAATTGAAAACCAAAACCCTCATTTCTGATTTCACATTCAATAGAAAACCATAACCCTCATTTTCTTATTTCAAACATAATATTTAAATTTTGCTAAACAGATGCAACATTCAACAGATTTCACATTGAACAGAAATCTGATTTCACATTCAATACAAATCTGATTTCACATTCAACAGATTTCACAATTATAAACAGATTTAAGATAAATATAAACCATTCAACATTCACATTCAACAGATTTCTAAACAGATTTCACAAATATAAACCCTAACCCTAACCCTAACCCTAATTTAAAATTTAAGATTTCACATTGAACATATTATCTATAATTAAAATTCAACAAATTATCTATAATTAAACACATTCAACAAATTCAACAATAAATTATCTATAGCAAAAGATTTCACATTCAACAGATTCAAGTATTTTTATTTGCTATGCATATGAAGATAATTTTAGGGTACCGACATATGAAAGGCATTGATGTATTTGGATGTATTTTTATTTCCCCTCTTTTTCTTTTTACTTACCAAAAAAGAAAAAAAAAGGAATGAGAAAAACTGGTACGCTAGGTGGCATGCTTGTTTCTTGTCGGTGTCTAACATGTGTTGGACATGGTACCTATTTTGGAGTGTCCATGCTTACTAGCTTGAGTCTTATTTGTATGGACTTTTTTGAGTTTGAATGTTGTTGGATTGATTTGTGTTTTATTATGTTTTAAGAGTCCAGGATAGTTTGGTAATATTACTTACAAAAAAAGAGAGTTGGGTTAATAATTAGTTTTGCTGGATGTGGGTTTTAGAATGAGTCCATGGGTAGTATTATTGGTGAATATTGTTATTGGGTCTTATATATGATGTCTTTATTAGGTGTAGAATATTTTTAGTTAGTCAAAGTTTTTAGTTTATTAATTTTAGTCATAGTTCTTGTAGAATTAGGAGGTATATCAATCAGGGAAAATGGGTCAGCCACTTTAGTTATCTTAACAGTCATGGGTAGGATTAAAACATGATTTGGGTTTCGGGCTAAACAGGTTGGTTCAAATCATGGCTCACGCCTGGGTATAAGGGCCAAATCAAATGAAAATCGGTTAGGTCACTTACTGGAAAAATTTTACTATAAAAAAAGTACTAATAGAGTTACGAGAGTCCACCAACCTATATATACTTGTATAATCTTGTTATTCATTAGAATTGAGAGTTTGAGAATTTTTGTGAAGCTTTTGAAACTTTATGTAATGCTTTGTTTAGACTTACCTTAGGGTTTGTGTGAAGCTTTTGAAACTTTAGGGGTCAAATCTTTTTTTAAAAAAAGACCTACCTTAGGGGTAATTCTTATGGAAGTTTAGGTAGAATTTGTAAATTTTTGTCTTTTCTTAGTTAAAATTACTGTTGCTGGGGTACTGTCAGAGCTGTAAAAAGTCCCATTTTCAGACTCCAAAACATTATGTCTTGATTAACAATCAACCTTAATCTATTCCCATACTTTTGACCCTTTTAATTACTAACACATAAAACATCCCAAAACAGCAGCTGTCCAGAGGATCCAGCAACCTGCCTTCTAGAAATGAATTCTAATTCTAGCCTTATTCCTCTCCAAAAATTGGATTCTTTCTCCATCTTAGAACCCTAAAACCTAACAAACCTTTCATAGCCAAAACCCACCACAAATGAATTCTAATTCTAGCCTTATTCCTCTCCACAAACCTTTCAACAAATTTTCTATAATTAAACAAATTCAACAAATTATCTATAATTAAAATTCAACACATTCAACAAATTATCTAACCCTAACCCCAATTTATTATTTCACAAATATAAACCGTAACCCTAATTTATTATAAACCGTAAACAAATTCAACAAATTTATTATTTCACACATTGAACAAAAATTTCACAAATATAAACCGTAACCCTAATTTATTATAAACCGTAATAAATTCATTATTTCTGATTTATTATAAACCGTAACCCTAATTTATTATAAACCGTAATAAATTCATTATTTCTGATTTATTATAAACCGTAACCCTAATTTATTATAAACCGTAATAAATTCATTATTTCTGATTTATTATAAACCGTAACCCTAATTTATTATAAACCGTAAACAAATTCAACAAATTTATTATTTCACACATTGAACAAAAATTTCACAAATATAAACCGTAACCCTAATTTATTATAAACCGTAATAAATTCATTATTTCTGATTTATTATAAACCGAGAGACAGTACTGAATCAATCAGAGGGAGCTCCAGAGAGAGAGAGAGAGCAGCGAGCTCCAGAGAGAGAGAGAACAGAGAGTGAAGAGCAAGAGAGAACAGAGAGTACAGAGCGAGAGAGAGACAGCAGCGGAGAGGAGAAATGAAATTGTGAATGGAAAACACGGGGCTGGGGGGGTTTAAATAGAAGTTCTAAAATCGTGGTTGTGAACCACGATTTCACTTAAAGAAAAAATATTTGCTCTAAACTCGTGGCTATGAACAGCGAGTTCAGAAGAATTGTATTTTTTTGATGAACTCGTGTTTTGAAAAGGCGATTTCAGCATGAAATCGTGCTTGTAAAGAGCGATTTCAAAAGAAGTTTAATCAAACTCGCGTTTTCTAACAGCGAATTCTTAATCAAACTCGCTTTTCCTAACAGCGAGTTTCAACCTTTACAGGTTTCAGGCGATGGGGGTGGAAAAGTCTTGAACTCGCGATTGTGAACCGCGAGTTAGCTTATTTTGAAAAATCTTTTAAAACTAGGCTTAGTTTGGGAATTCCTTTATTATTTTGGCTTATTTAGGGAAATGACCCGTGATATTTTGTTTTATTAGCTAAATTAGTTTATTTTGTCTTTGGATTGTTTTGACTTATTTTGAGAAGTAGGTTAAAAGTCACTTTTCAAGTTTTAATCCACTTTTCACTCTCACAAAAAAGTCAAAAAGCACCTATTTTGGAAAGTTGATTTTTTGATTTTTTTTTTCTTTTTCCACCCATACATTCTATGTGAAATAATGATCTAAAATTAATTAAAAATCAAAAATTAGTTTTTCATCATGTTTTCAAATTGGCCATTTATTGACTAATTTAGTCAAAGTAGTTCACGCCAAACGATAGGAAACCGGTTGGGAAAGGGTGATGTTTGGTTGTGAATATAGGAATGTAGATGGGTGTTTCCTTATAATGGTAATAGACTCATAGAATATGGAGTGTGTGGTTATGTTTCCTAGGGTAATTTTTATATTTAAAGACTAAAATAATTGCTGACATTATTTTTTGTGTGTTTACTATTAAACAGAGAGTGCTGATCGTCTAATTTTGTCCTCTCAATTTTATTTCTAATGATGTGGTCCATTCCTCTCATTCTCATCTTGAGTTTCTTTAATTTCACATCATTAAAATTGAAATCAGAGAACAAAATTAAGAAAAAAAACATTACAATGAAATGAAGGTTTGTGTGGCAAGTTGTATGTCTGAACTCAAGACAATGGTGGATAGGCAAGTGGGGTGTTTGGATAGAAAAATGGCTTGTAGCTTGAAAAATCCGAGGCTCGATTGGCCCGAATCGCAAAACGACGTCGTTTTGCGATTCGTTTTTTTTTTTTCATTTTCTTCTTCTTTCTCTTTGTATTTGAAACAGGGAAGGAGGAAGAGAGAGAGTGAGAGAGAAAGCGAAAGAAGAGAGAAAGCGAGAGGCGAGAGAGAAGGAGGAAGAGAAGGTGATGGCGGTCGTCGCCGATCGATCGCCGATGGGTAGATCGCCACTTTCTCTGTTTTCTGTATTTTTTTTTTTTTTTTATGATGAGGATGATCTGCAGTATATATATGCTGCTGTTGATGATGATGATGATCTGCAGTATATATATGTTGTTATTGATTTTTTTTTTTTTTTTTTTTTTTTTATGGTAATTGATTTGTATTGGGTGATTTGGGTTGGATTTGGTTAATCTCTCTCTCTGCTCGGGTGATTTGGGTTTTATTTTTGTGTGATGATGATGATCTGTATCACTCTCTCTCTCTCTATTTGATTTGGGTTTGATTTTTGTTTGATTTTTGGTTGATCTCTCTCACTCCCCTCCCTTCCTCTTCTTTCTTCTTCTTCTTCTTCTTCTTATTCTTCGTCTCTATTTCAGAATAGAGAGAAGGGAAAAAAAAGGGGGAAAAAAATAGTAAAATGACGTCGTTTTTCGATTCGAGCCACAGTGTTTTCGAGCTACGAATCGGAATTGGGATAGAAACGGGTATTAGGGAAATGGTTGACTAATATCAAAACTTCAAATTAGGCATAGTGCAGGACATTTTGAAAAGATGATTAAAAGTTGATTTTTTAATTTTTTTTAGCTTTTTTGGAAAAAAATGTATAAAAAATATGAGAGATGATTTAATTCCAAAATGAATTAAAAGTTGAGAAATGACTTTTAACTCATTTTTCAAAAGAGGCCCATATGCTTTGATGTTAATGCAATAATGATGGGAGATGACTTGAATAATTTGATAGTCGTATAAATAATAAAAAATATTACTATTATTATTTATTTTGATTTATTTTAATGCTTACCTATCGTCCGTATTAATTTAAGTCAATTTAACTTAATTACTTAAAAAATATAAGGGTAACTATAATTTTTCTTCAAATTTTGGAGAATTTTTACAAGAATAAATTCAACCAATTCAAACGGGTTACGGGGCCCGCTTTACTCGAGAGAGGCTAACCCTAAAAAAAAAACACTTCCTGAGAGAGAGGGAGGGGGGAAAATGGAAGCTAAAGATATGGAGATGGATGTGGAAGATGCGAAACCTAGTTCGAATTCAAACCAATTCAAGCGATTCGGACTCAAAAACACTATTCAAACGAACTTCGGAGACGACTACGTCTTCCAAATCGTCCCCGAGTATGTTCCTCTCATCTCTACATCTTCAATCCCTCTCTCTCTCTCTCTCTCTCTGTATATATATATGTGTGTGTGTGTGTGTTGATGTTCACTGTCAAATTCGAATGGTAGGGATGATTGGACGTCGATGGCGGTGTCTCTGTCGACCAACGCCGTAAAATTGTACTCAGCAGTCACAGGTCAATACTTGGGGGAGTGTAAAGGCCATTCTTCCACTATTAATCAAATCTCATTCTCTGCTCCAACGACCCCTCACCTTCTTCACTCTTGCTCTTCTGATTCTACCATCAGAGCTTGGGACTCTAGATCATTCCAGCAGGTCTCTTTCTCTCTCTCTCTCCCTCCATATATTTTTGTGTATATATGTATTTATCTCTATAGACTAGCAATACGATTGTAATTTTGCATTTAGATTTTTGAATGGTTTGATAATTGAAAGGTCATTCATTTGATGAATGAGGAAAACCATTAACCATTTAGCAATTTTCGGTAATTTGAATGAGAAAATCCCATTTACAGAAATCATTAAGTAGTTATTGAATGTTTCATTTATGTGAAGTGAAGGGCATTTTTTGAAGAACAAAACAAAACAAAAAAAAAACTTGACAGTTATTAAATGTGAGGATATTTTTGAAAATGTAAAAAACTGTGACATTTTATATAATACAACTGACAATTTTTTCTATTTCATATTTTCTATCCCTTTTATTTCAATTGGTGGGTATGGTTCAATGGGTATCGTTCGGAAGTCTATTCTTATAGGCAATAAGGTAATTATATATAATTTAAACAACCTAAATCATTCATATAACCAAGCATCTTCATACCTGCACTATATTAGACTACTTACCGTTACAACCAAACATTAATATTCTTCTCCATCCATCCCTCATCCTCTCTCTTTCTCTGCCCTTTTACTTAGTTGTTCAAATTCTATAATGGCATTTTTGTTCTTCAAATTCGGCTTCAACAATTATTTATGTCTCCAATTCAATTACATGAGCTGAAATAAGAAACCCTGAAGACTAAATAGATGAAATTGTTAGCTCAGGATCAAATAGAAAAAGAATAGCAATGGCTTAGAGAATAAAAGCAAAGGCAACTCTGTATATATTCATCTCTTTCTCTGGTGTTTTTGCACTGCACCACTGGTCTTTGTTTGTATATATTTTCTAAATTAATCTGCTGGACATATCAATTAATCTTTTGGTTTCTAGAGTCACAGAGGGGATTCTTCGTTTTGGACTTTGGTTTTGTGTTCTCGAAAACAGTAACAAATGAAAGTTCGAAAATACCCATCATTTGTTTTAGTTTTTATTTTTTTATCTTTCTTAATATGTAGAGGTTGTTTTCATAAATGATGTTTTGAAAATTGTCTTTGATTCACCAAACAAATATTTGTACAGAATTGCGCTTTGTGTTGCTATGGGACTAAAGGAGAGAACTGATGCCAATTGGATGAACCTTGTATTATTAATGTTGAAATATTTTCACTAAATCTCTGTGTAATTAAAAATCCCATTCTGAATTCGTTTTTCTTCTTTCTTTTTTCTACACAAAAACGAGGCAAATAATGCTAAAGATGGGATTAGCTTCATTGTTGCAACTTCAATATGTTACATCAGTATGCTATTTTTAAACTTGTTATTTAATTATTTGAAAGTTACAGTATTAGGCTTATCAATGAACGTCATGGCCCAGAGCAAATCGTCGCCGGT